GGGGGGGGGCACAGGGTGGACTGTTATAGGTTGAACTGTGTCCCTCATAGTTAAGGATGTTAAAGTCCTAACCCCTGATAACTCAGAATGTAACTGCATCTGGACATCAGATTACCACACATCAATTCGTTCAAGTGAGGTCATTCTAGAACAGGGTGGGCCTTTAATCCAACATGACTGGTGTCCTTGAAAGAAACGTGGACACAAATAGACACAGGGAGAATGCCATGTGACAACAGAGGCGGAGGTTGGGCTGATGTGGCCACAAGTCAAGTGATGCCTAGAGCCACCAGAAGCTGGAAGCAGCAGGAGGAACCCTCCCTCAAGCCTCTGGACAGAGTGCAGCCCTACGATCGATCCTGGACGCCCAGCTGCCAGAACTAACACGATACGCCTGCACTGTTTTGAGCCCCGATCATGGCACTTTGTTGCTGACCAACACAAGGGAGTCTTCAGTAACCCCCTCACCCCCTCAAGCTCCAAAGGAGGAGGCGACAGAGAACCCCACCTTGTAGGGGGGAAACAGAAGCAGAACCCACAGTTTGCCCAGGTCACAAGCAGGAGAGCCACAGACAGGCTCTCCAGCTCCAAGCCCACGACCGTACAGCCACCACTGCAGCCTGCGGCGGGAAAGACGCAAGGCCACCGACAGAAAACACAAGCAAGGATACTCTGTGGGCTGTGTGGCCACCCACGTGTCCAACGTGATCCTCGGGCCAAGAGTGCTGGTGTGAGGCAGAGACACTGTGGCCACAGGTCCGACCTCCAGCCCCGGGGCCTGCTCCTGCCACTCTAGTATCCAGCTGGAGTCAGGACAAAGCACGCTGAGGCATGGCCGTCACATCAGGTGATTAGGCCTGAGCAGAAAGGCATGGCTGAGCCATCCTCTGGGAAACCAGCTTCTAGGGAAGCAAGCCAGGCAGTGGCAAGGCCAGGGCAGAGTCCTGGAAGTCGAACGCTTCATGAGCAATCTGGAGACTGCTTGGAGGCAGACGCCCATGGGGCACACACAGCCCCCTGACTCTCTCTGGGGCGAGCCCGGTGCCCCAGCCCCCAGTTCTGAGATGTCAGAGAGTAGACGGTGGAAGAGGAAGCCCGGGAAGGTGGGGCCACCCGGAGGCGCAGAGGGCAGAAGCGGCCCGGCCCCTCCCCCAGTGTGGGTGTGCACACACACGTGCAGAGGCTCCTAAGGGACGAGGGGAGCAGAACGGGGGCTGCGCCCTCCTGCCCCGACGCAGAGGCACAGGAGAGGTGTCAGCAGACAGCCGCACAGGTGGGTCGCACCCAGGTCCCGTTGCACAGCCTGCTCGGAAGGGTCACCAGGTCAGGATGCAGCCCCCACCTGCCACCGGAGGGAGGTGTGGCCTGTACCTTCAGCTTCTCGTACTTCTTGCAGTAGACCTCTAGGGCCTCCCTAATGTCCTCGGGGACCTCCAGCTTCTCGTCCTTGAAGGGAGGCCAAAACTCGCTGGACAGGATGACGGCATAGACCCCAAAAGGCGGCTGCTCCTCTATGGGCCGCTTCTCGTCCTCCTCACGAATGTTGGCGTTGATGCGACGGGAGTCCGCCATGTCCTGGGGGGAGGAACGAGGTCTCACGAAGGCCCCGGGGCTGGGCTCAGGGTGAGGCCGGGCCAGGTGGGCAGGAGCCCCGCGTGCCCACCTTCAGCATGACCTCGCAGAAGTGCATGGGAGCCTCGCCAAAGCGCAGCTTCAGCAGCTCCACGTTGCGGATCTCCCTGGAAGAATGCATCTCTGAGGGGGCGTGGCGCGCCCCCACCCCAAGCAGCACCCGTAGCGGAGCGGGCACCCTCCCCCACCCAGCGCAGGGACACCCCAGGGGGAGAGGGGCGAAGTGCGGCTCCAGCCACCGAGACCCTGGACTCCGTCCCGGCCGAGGCCCAGGGGTTCCCGGGGATCTGGTTCCCCGAGCCCCTGGGCCTCCCCCCAGGCCTCTCCAGGGTGATGGCTGAGCCCGGGTGCACCTCCCGGCCGGAGAGCAGGCAGCGGCGCCCCCTGCGGCCCACTGGCGCCTTGCGGGCCTCACCGCTCAGGACTAAAGCTGAACTGGTGCAGGAGGCGGTCGGCCAGCAGCGAGCGGTACTCGTTGATGAACAGGTCCTTGCTGCCGTAGATGCTGACCAGCAGGCTAATGATGTCCGAGGAGCGCCGCTTGGAGCTGGACTTCCCTGCACGGCACGGGGACCGGCACCAATGGCATCTCGCAGGGATCGAGGAAGCACCATCCGCGCCCACGCAGGCCCCACCCTGCCACGCCCGTGAGGCCCAGGCCCAGATCCCAGGTGAAGGGCGGGGTGGGTAGTGCACAGGCCGCCTGGGAATCTGCTCTTCTGGCAAGCTGGACGGAGACACAGGCCACCGTGGGCCCACTCAAGCCAGCCAGAGCCCCCTGCAGAAGCGGGTCGGGGCGGGTGCTGACAACCGATCCCCTCAAGCTTTCGGGCACCTGTGGAATCAGACGCCTGCCTTGCTGGAGCGTCCCCCACAACCCAGAGCCAGGTGGGGCTGGTGGCACTGACCTGGATCGGCATCCACAGGGTCAGGGACCCAGTCCTCGGGCTCGCCAGAGTCATCCTCGCTGTCCTGACCAGTCTCCAGGCTCGCCGGGTCTGTCTTGGACAGCTCGACAGCCAAGTCCCCCGTCCCATCCGAGTCCCCCGTCAGCCCAGCTACAATCTGCCGCACCGTGTCCTCCCGCGTCCTGCCAGATGTGAGTACCGCTGGCCTTCACGGCACCTCTCTGTTTGCCCACACCACGGCACCCCACCTCACCCCGGCAGCCAGCACCCCCGTTGGCCACGTGCTTAGGATGGGTCCGTCAAACTTTCTCTCAGAAAACAGTAATACCGATCATAATAAGATAAACCCCACCGTTTTCGGGAACGCCGAGAACTAAAATAATACGGGATCTAGGCCAGGGCCTTCCCAACCAAGAGGCAGCAGACGTGAGTCAGGGAAGCACCAGATGCCTCCCAGCCCCAGCCCTGAGCCTCTACTGTCCCGAGGGGTCTCCAGACAGCTGTGCCCCAGCACCCGCTCAAACACGTCCTCTGACAGACAGCCTGGGAGTCACTACTGCTCATGCACAGGGGATCCCCCCCCCCCACCCCGGCCTCAGCCTGGGTCTTGGTCAGTAAGCTAAAGCTGAGCCGGGGCCTCTATGGACTAGGAAAAGGGGATGGGAACAGAGAGCAGGGTTACAGGGTGGGGTCCCCAGTGTCTGCCCATGGACATGGTGGCACCCACAAGACGAAGAAGCCCGGGCCGTGGCCAGGTCATGTGGCCCAACAGGAGGGACAGAGTGTCCCTGGTGTTTCGGGGGCCACAAGGACCCACGGGGAACTTGGCTGCACAAATGGAGCCAAGAGACAAGGACCCCAGGTCCGAGCAGCAGCCTGGAGCTTGGCCACGGGGCTCACCTCAGGTAGCGGCGAATGGGCTCACAAGCCACCTCCAAGATGACCATGGAAGGGTCGAGCACACGCAGTGCCTTGATGGCGGATATATAGAGGGTGATGATGTCGCACGTGTTGACCCCTACGGCCAGGAGAAAGGACAGTAGTCACAGCAGCACCCAGGAGTTGTCCCTTGAGCAGCAGCGCCCTGGCCAGGTGGGTTTTTCGGCCACCACTGTGACCCACGGGACGCTGTCCCCCTTCTCCCCTAACTCTCATGTGCTTTCCCTGGAACTTTCCAAGGTCCGAGCCCTCCCCTCACTGGGCGGTCTGCCCCAGGCCACTCCCATCACTTCCCAGGACTCTCTTCAAGGGAGGATGAGGAGGAGCTCCTAAGGACCGCACAGACCCACACCCTACACAGGCCCCTCGGCAGAGGAGACTGGCCTCTTGGGCAGCAGCTCAGGCACCTGGGTGGAGGAGCCGCGTCTCCAGGGCAGCCTTGAGAGACAGGAGCAGCTGCTGCCTCTGGTCGGTCCTTTCCAGGCAGTATTTGAGGTCCTCGATGGCTGGCCGGGAGTCTGGGAAGTCTGTAGGAAGAGTGTGGACCCTTGCACACACACAGTGCAAGCACGCACGTGCTGTGCGTGCAAGAAAGGACACAAGGTCGGCAGGGCCCAGAGGGTGAGCGGTGGCGCCTCCACTCAGCAGTGATGAGAAACACCACTAGGTGCTTCAGGCCGTCCCTGGGCGGTCATGTGCCCTCCAGCCCCCGCCCCGCCCCCGAGTGCCCAAGGACAGAGCAGGAGCATGGAGCCGCCGACAGGATGGGGGTGGACGCCCAGAAGCACCGTCTGGGGGCCACACTGGCGGGCCCAGCTCTGCTTGGGACGCCACTGTCTGCCCTAAGTGCCCCTGACCGCCTGCAGGATCTGAATGGCGAAGGCACGGGGAAGGTGGCCACTTCAGCGGGCAGGGGGCCGACCTCGGATGATGCTGAAGAGCTCCTCGATGCGTAGGCCGGCATAGATACGGTAGAAAAACCTCTGCACGTGGCACCGCCACCGGCGCAGTGTGTTGCCAGCCTCCGGGGACGCGGGCCTGGCAGGGCCATCCTGCAGGAATACCTTGCCGAGCCAGCCGACCACCCTCTCGATCCACTGTCGGGAGAGCGCAGGTGTAGGGAGGTGAGGAGCTGAATGAACCCCAGCCCGACATGGAGCAGAGGCTACCCGCACTGCAGCCAGTCTTGGGGAGTCTCTAAGGCTCCTGGACACTAGGAGCACATTGAAACCAGCAGGATAATGGGTCCAAAGTGGGCCTCCCAGGCCTCCCATCGATGTGTCCCCACACCCGATGAGCACCAGAGCCCAGGCTTATCTCTAGCAACAGTGGCCCTGATGCAGAGCACGGAGAGAACGCTCACCTCTGACCTGGTGGACAGACACACCCTGGGGGCCACGTACCTGACTAGTCCCACCACGTGGGACAACGTAAGGGCCCTTCTGAGCACACACGCGTAAACTTATAGGCAGAACAGCCGCACAGAGCCTAGGATGCACACGTTCCCCCACAAACGACGCAGCCCCTGATGACAACATCCCGATACTCTACCAGCTGGGGGCAACACAGGTGCCCCGGCCAGGCCTCTGGGCTCACACCCACTCCAGACCGCTGCTGTACAGACACTTGCTTTGAACCCCCACCACAGCTAATCTGAGCCCTGGGACGCAGACACCAGGAAGCGGCGGAGAATGACATGCGGGAAGTAGGGGCAGGCTGGACGGTCCCCTGCGGTTGGGCCGGCACCTCCCCGGCTCTAGGGAGACCAGGGCAGAGCCCCAGACCACGCCCCAACAGCACGGGCGCCCTGAGGCCCCTCAGCGGGACACCCCTGACCTTGGCACCGCCTCCAGCCAAGTGATTTCTCACAGACCTTGCTGAGCAGGTCACGGGCTCTACCTTGCGGTCACAAGGGCAGGCCGGGAAGGGCCAGCTTCCACCCAGCACCAAGACAGCTTCATCCACCAGCCAGGTCCTAGCTCGTCCGAGTCCCCATACTGTGGCTGCGTCTGAGACCACTAGGGCGTCAGGTTGGCCAGAAACCTGTTCTGCGGCCCCCGGGGAGCAGGGCCCGAGAGGCCGTCCTTACCTTGTGGAACTCTCGCAGGAAGGAGCGCTCGTACTCGCCCCGACAGCGGTCCTCCATTCTCTCCCTGGTCACCTGGTGCAGGGTGGTGGTCACAGCCTCCGCACTGACCCGCTCCAACAGACTCAGCCTGTGTCTGGAGGACAGCCCTGCTCGTGGAGCACACGGAGTACCCTGCTCCCCCTCACACCCAGCGCCCTCTGCACCGAAGGCTTCGAGGAAAAGCTGCTGGGGAGGACGGAGCCCTGCCCTCCCCAGTTGGCCCCTCTGCCCAGCCTGAGACCCTGGCCTTGCCCATGTGAGGAGTGGGCGTGGCTCTCAGGGCTAAAACCCAGCTCCTTAAACATGGCTCTGAAGCAACAGCTAAATATATCACCGTCCTGACCAGGTGAGCATAGACGCCACCAGTTATGCCGTTGGGTGCAGACCCTGGTCAGCGATGGCGAATGAACTCGAGAAAACGAGAGAGAACATTTCTGGGCACCCTGCATCTGGGATGAACCAGCAAAAGCCATCCAGGGCCTCCCTGACCCTCGCCAGCGACAGGGCCCCTCCCTCAGTCCAGCTAGAAGCCCCTCCCCCTTCCCAACAGCTGTGCTGCTGCCGCTTCACTCAACGTGACAAGATCATTACCAGCAACCACAAAGGATTAAAGGCTCACAGCTCAGAACCCAGCTTTAACGGCGACAGCAAAATCCTTTCCTCTTTAAAAGGCTGGAAAAGCAATCTGCTTGCCCAGCGTGTTAGCCTAATCCCCAGCTTGTCTGGAAAGAATAAAAAAAGCGAGCCCGCCTCTTGCAATTACAAGAGAGGATGAACACCATCCCTTCCCCAGGGAGCCTACAGAAGGCACAGCAGAATTCTACGTGGCCCAGAAAATTTGCAATCCCTAGGGTCTCAGAGTAAGCAAAGAGCGGAAACCCAGGGCTAGTGTGAGTGGCAGACACACACCTGTGTCCAAGACAAAACGTATAAATTCACAGCGCTGGGATCCTGGGGACCCGCCCCTGGCCACCCCCAGGACGATCCGGCAGAGACCCCACCCCCCACCCCACCCAGCCAGCTGGACCCAGGACAGCCAGCCAGAGGCAAGAACAGAGGCGTGGCCACACAGGCACGAGTACTCACAGGACCTGGCTGAGCTGGTGAAACTGCTCCAGGGCCTGGCGGCACCAGCACTGCTGCTTGTCGCTGCCGCATCCCGCACACAACGGGCTCTGCAGAAGCCGGTAGTACCGGCGACGGGCATACCTGCTGTCCAATTCCCCCTCTAGTTCTGGGTCTGTGCCCCCTTCCCCCTTCCTCTTACTCTGCATGTAAACTCTCAAAAAGCGCCCATAGAGGCGCTGAATCATCTCCTGAAAGGTTCTGGGAGTGGAAAAGAACAGGACGCCCCGCAAGGTGGTGTGGACTTTTTCCCGCAGCCCCTGAGCGCCTGCGCCCATCAGCAAGCCCAGGCGAGTCCATTTCTCCAGCAGCTCTAGACTATGCAGGTAGGGATCCAGGCGGCTCTCCAACAGGCCGAAAGCGTCAAGGAGAAGCAGAAGGCACTGGGGCTCGTCTGCACAGTTCTCACGCTGGGAGATAGTATTCCAGAACTCAAGGGAGATGTTGGCCTGCAGGTCGTTCTGCAGCACCTCTACAAACCACTCCTCCAGGACCGAATGCAGACCGTGGGCCCTCAAAACCTCCACCGCCGCCCGGAGCTCCTCCTCCTTTGGCGGCACCGCACCGCTGGTCCGGGAGGACGCCTGGAGTGCAGGGAACCGTGAGAAGGGGACACAGAGTAGCGGTGGGAAGGGCACTGACACGCGGGGAGAAGCGGGGAAAGGGACAGAGCGGAGGGGAAGCTGCGGGATTTCCGCTACCCCTCGTCCACGACGCACGGATGCTTGGCCGACGCTAGGGAAGGGCCGCCTCGGCAGCGGAACGAACCCCAGGGTGGAAGTCCTAGTAAAGCGCGCAGGGTCCCCGGAACCCCGCGCGGACCCGCTGCCCTCTTCCGGGGCCTCACCAGTCCCAACGCGGCCGGCGGCACCAGCCCGGTGCTCACGGTGTTCCAGGCCACCAACAGTTCCTGTGCAGGCCCGGGGTCGCCGTCTCGCACCGCCGTCGCCATCTGCGCCCACCAGCTCCCAGGGCTTCGCGGCGCGGCGCGCGGCGATGACGCACACTAGAGGCGCGCCGCGGTGACGTATCGGAGGGCGCGCCGTCGGAAGGCAGTGCGCAGGCGCGAACGGCGAGGAGCTGGCGGCGGTTGGAGTGGTCGCGGCCCAAGCGGCGACCATGACCCAGCAGGGCGCGGCGCTGCAGAATTACAACAACGAGCTAGTCAAGTGTGAGCGGCCGCGCGGCGGGGTCTGCCGGGCGGGCTGGGAGGGCGCGGGGCTCGCCGGCGTGCAGGCCGAGGCAGTAGCTGGCCCGCAGCGCGCGGCCGAGTGGGGTGCACGGTCCGTGCGTGGGTGTCTCGGCTGGGAAGGCGCCGGTGGCCGTCGGACCCGCCCGGCGCACGGCCGCTCTGTGGCACGCACCAAGCCCTGGGTATCTGTGGAGAGAGCCAAGGAACGAATGGCTAGAGCACGCACTGCCGCCCGGGCGCCACGCCCGCTGATCCGGTGCGGTGCTTTCTCTAACCCCGAGACCCCCTGGGCGGTCGGAGCCTGGCCTGGCGGCGGTGGAAGGTGGCCGAGCCAGCCCCGGGCCTCCCGCCACCCTCTCCTCCTACACAGCAGTGGGCTCCAGAGTGGCAGGGGTGCTGCTGTCCTTCCTGCCCTGGGTCCACAGCGCCTGCCCCGCTCGGCCCACTGTAGGCATCGAGGAGCTGTGTCAGAAGCGAGAGGAGTTGTGTCGGCAGATCCAGCAGGAGGAGGATGAGAAGCAGCGGCTGCAGAGCGAGGTGAGGCAGCTGACAGAGAAACTGGCCCGAGTCAACGAGAATCTGGCGCGCAAGATTGCTTCTCGCAACGAGTTTGACCGGACCATCGCAGAGACAGAGGCTGCCTACCTCAAGGTGGGGCTCGGGGCCGGCAGGGAGCCTGCATGCCTGTGGCCTGTGGGGGGTGGCCTGGGGGCACCCACGGGCAGAGGCGACAGGACTACAACATGGTCAGGACCGCTGTGGGATGACAGTGGGGCTGTCAGTGGGGCCCGGCACGCCCCAAGTCCTGTTCTGTGCACCGTAGTTTTATGGCTTGTCCCAGACCACGGGCAGAGAGTGGCAGCAAGGGCCAGAGCTCATCTCGTCTGGCTTCCCAGGGTGCAAGGAGGGGGGCTTTGGGCTAAAGGCTCTGCTGACCCTGTCCGACCCTCCTGTCAGGGGCTTCCTCTCCCTGCTTCTGCCCCAGGCTTGGCACTGGCTCGGTAGGAGCAGAGCTGGACTGTGCGAGCCTTCTGATGAGAGGGATAGTGACAGCTGTCTCGTGTCCCCGTTTCCAGATCCTGGAAAGCTCGCAGACTCTGCTTAGTGTCCTGAAGAGGGAAGCCGGGAACTTGACCAAAGCCACAGCCTCGGAGCACAAGAGCAGTGGAGGCAGGGAGAGCTGAGGAGGCCATTGGTGGGGAGGGGCCTGCCTCCCACGTCCCTCAGTGGCTCGATCCCCAACAAGTCTGTCTTCAAAGCGTCTTTATTCTTCGTGGTAGCAGCTGCCTCCTTTCGCTGTCTTGGGTGCCAAGAGGCAGTTGCCCAGCTTCACCTGCCCCAGGTGACAAGTACAGCCCTGGGTGCAGCCCACCAGGTGGGGGTCCTGGCCCTGTACTCATAGGACATGGGAAGGACAGGCTCTGGGTGAGTTGCGCTCAGGGCGGAGGTCCCCTCACCCCCGCCCTGGGCTGCCAGAAAGACCCTGCTCCCTACTTTCACCAGCACGGCAGCCACCTCACCTCGGTGCCCAGGCCAGGGGAGCAGGGGAGGGGCTGGGGCCCACCCCCTCAGAGCTTGCCCTGGTGGCCTATGACTGTCAGTAAAGATTGTCTTTGTGAAGGTAGCTTACTGCCTGTGTCCTGTGTCCTGCATGTGGGACGTGGGACTGCTGCACGACCCCAGAACCAATGTGAGCCCAGCCGCATGGCTTCTTGGCAGAGGAGGGCCTGGAGTGGCTTTCCCTGTGACAAGCCTTGTTGGCTTTGGGGACAGAGTTGAGGGTACCCTTGAGCATTCCCCGGGACCTTGTCACCCACCCTTTCTCCCCACCAGGGCTGCTGGCCCCCTGCCCCCAACCCCAGCACTTAGCCTCCCCGTCGGGTGGTGTTCTGCCTGTTGGTCTTGGGCTGTGCGATGCCCTGTTCCCCAGCACAAGGCCTGGCCCAGGGAGACGCTCTCCAGCCAGGGCTGTGCCCCAGCTCCAGGATTCCAAACTTTGCTCCAACCCCACAGCACCACCACTCCCCACTCTTCCTGGTCCCACCAAGCGTGCTGACTTCCAGCCTCCCACGCTGCCTGGGGCCCAGCCCTCCACCCCGAGTCCTCTCTGGGACTGTCTCTGTTGGCCAGTTAGCTCCTATGGGGGTCCCTGCAGCTAGGCAGGTCTGAGAAGCATGTATTGAGAAGGTCTGGAGAAACCTGGGCCCACTCCACCCAGAACACTAAAAACACCCTCCTCCTTCCCAAGTTTGGCCAAGCAGCATTTCTCGCGGGCTTGACTCCTCAGGAGGGATGTACTTGCATCCGTTGCCTGGATTACAAGCAGCCCCAGCTCCCCAGCTCCAGGCTGAGCAGGCAGTTCTGTGTCTCCTGTTGCCTTTTGGATTCTGCTGGGTTTTCCTGCCGGCCGTTAGCACTGACTCCAGGGAAGTGGTCTGCCTCCTACAGCCTTGCTGCAGGCTCCTGTGGGTCAGGTGGCTTTCCAAGCCACACAGGAGGCGAGATCCCTGAGGTTCCGCCCGCTCCTCGTCCCCTCCCAGGCGCTTGGCCTTAAAAACGGCTCTGGTCCAGCCAGAGTACCAGACCCCAGAGAGCAAGCCCAAAGTGCTCCTCCCCCTACAGCTCCCACTGTGTCAGCCCAGAGACCAGAAGTGCTCACGGGGGTCCCTCTTCCCCCAAGGGGGTGGCTGGGAGGGGAAGCAGGGCAGGCGGGGCTACGGGAGCGAACGCCTGGACCGCCAGACAGCAACGTGTGGGGGTGCCACGCAGGACCACCCCATACCCAGGCACAGATGTCCTGGCTGGGCTCCCGCTGTACCTTCCTCCTCGCTGCCAGGGCCTCGATGGAGCCCCACAGACCCCACCCCTGCTCCCTGCTTCTTTGGCCAAGGACCACACAGGGAAGGCAGAGGAGGCCTTGTCCAGTGGTATTTATTGAATCCATCATTAGAGGCAAGAAAAAACTTGCCATTCATCACAAACGGGGCGAGTTGAGGTCTGCAGTTGGGGGGTGTGGGCTGGGAAGGGCTGGAAGTCCCACAGAGGACAGGCAGCCAACCTAGCCCTTCACACATGCACCAGACACCTGCTGGCATGGTGTCCAGCGGGACCCTGTCCATCCTCCACAGGCAGTGCCCCCACACCAGGGCTGCAGAGTGAGACTCGGCCTCGAGGGAAGCAGGAGACCCCGGCGCCCTAGGCTCAGGCCAACCCCAGGAAGGGAGGGTGGGATATGGCAGGGCAGAGCCCAACAGGGCAGCGAGAGGTGGGGGGGTGCAGAGTGAGGGCGGGCTTCTGGGCACTGCCCGGCTCCCAGGGCTCAGCCTTGGCCATCCTGGCAGGGCTGGGGTCAGAAATAGAGGGCTGGCTCACTTCGGAAGTCTGAGAGGTCGTTCTGACTGGCAGGGGTGAGCTGAGAGAGAGGGACAGAGAGGGAGCCAATGGGACTCATCCAGGCATTAGAGACACCCCCCACCCCAGGCCTTGGGTGTTGGCCCTCCCAGCCGCACCCCTGCTCACCATGACCTCCTTGGGTGTGGGCTCCACCTCACTCGGAGCCTGCTCCAGCGTCTGTTCCTGCCATTTATTGAAGGCCACAGAGTGTTTTGGAGTGTAGCCGGACAAGCCTGTGGGCCAAGAGGCACATGTGTGGACGTGTGGCCCAGCTACCCACTGGGCCGCCCATTCCCACACGTGAGCACTCACCTGAGCTGCCGTCCGGCAGGTGAGGGCTCTCGGGCCCCACGCTGTTCACAAAAGTGGCTCGGGGCAGGAACAGCGAGAAGGGCTTCTCCACCACCCCATCTGAGCTGGACTCCTCCTCCTCCTCTTCCTCCTCCCCGTCCTCCTCCTGGGCCTCAGCCTCCTCCTCCTGTACCAGCGAGCTCTCAGGAGGGTACTCAAATGTGGTCTGCAGGCGCTTGTCATTGAAGGAGATCTTCATCTAAGGACAGGAGGTACATCAGCAGGGCTCTGCTGCCTGGCTACCAGGGGTTACTCCAGCCAGGCTGAGCCGGGCACAGTGACCCTGGAGGCACGGTAGAGGTTGGCGGCCCCAGGCAGGTAGCAGAACATGCCATCAACCCTTCAGAACTGAAAGGTGGGGGGGCTGCCCCTCATCGGAGACCACTCCTTTACCGGCACCCTGCTGGCCCGGGCCACAAGGACCCCAGGAAGGTTGTTCTGGCTGCCCATGCAACCCAGGGCCGGTGTGTCCAAACACCTGCCTCCCAGACCCCACCCATCCCCTTCTCCCCCCAGGCCCAGGGTCACATCACCTCGGGTAACCAACCCTGCCCAGGGACCAGACCTTAGCCAGCACCAGGAGCCCAAAGTCTCAGTGTCTCTAGAAACTTCTATGGCAGCTCCTAGGGTTGAAGGGCTGCCTTCGCAGGGGAGCACCAGCCACCTAGAGGCTCTATGGCAGGAGCAGGGTCTAAGTGAGACGGCACTCGGGGGGCCCACCTACTCGGGTGCCCGACCTCCTCAGTCACCAGCAGTGTGTTGTTGGCTGGGGTCTCTCTCCAGGACCGAGTTCACATCCTGGCTTGCTAGGCACCCGAATGACGCTTCCTGCATAGCTCAGCATGGACCAGTGCTGCTGGGCAGGACGGGGCACACACCTAAGGCCAGGCCCCCGGGGCGTCCATGAGGTGACAAAGCAGGGTGGCTGGCATATGCCAAACCCCGGGGGGGTGACACCAAATGCCATCACCCCATTTTACAGACCAAGTCAGAATTAGACCAAAACTGCACCCAAG